ATGATGATAATAATAATAATAATAATAATAATAATAATAATAATAATAATAATAATAATAATAATAATAATAATGGAAAATATTAAAAGATTATCTGATAATAGTTTTCTTACTTTAGAAAATATAATAATCACATGAAAATGCAATTAGTAGCGTGGGGCCACAAAGCAGATTTCCAAAAGTTTTTGGGTCAAAATTGGTCTATTGATAGCCACCTTCCTTGTTTAAGCAAGTTCAGTCAACTAAACTATGAAATTGTAGAGCTGGTCCACAAATTATTGAAATGTTTCTTAATTTTTTGTGCTAAATAACTAGTACAAATCCCGTGCGATGCACGGTAAGAGATATTCATTAATATTTATAAATTAAAAATTCTCATTAAATAATATTTATAAATGAAGTACATAGAATCAATATGTAATAGAATGTGCCTATATTAATTTATTGAAAATGTTATATAAAATTTAAATTGTGTAAAATTACATAAAAATATCTATTTAAAATTAGTACACAACCCGTGCGTTGCACATAACTGATAATAAATTATATTATATTCGTTTCAAAATATGTGTCATTTCCATAAAATAATTATTTTTATAAAATTTGATCATATATTATGTGAATAATAAGTATAAATAAAAAACTTATATTGTATCCTTAATTGAAATAAAATTATCTTTTTATAAAATATCGAAATCCGAAAATTTAAGTAGTTGAAAAAAAACAATCAGTCATATAATTTTTTATGCCAAAATCATCGACACTCTTTATCATGATAAAAAAAAAAATGAACAGTGCATTTCATATAAAAATTATTTAAAATGTCGTAACAAAAAATGAATTAAATCGAGATCCATAATTATACTAAAAAATTGACCAAAATTTTTTCTATATAAAAAGAAATCGATACACGCACATTAAATCAGAATATCCGTTCATATTATACTGCGAGATTGAATGCAAATTAAATCATCATAAAAGTTGATTTCAAAAGTCTTATCCCAATGTTGCATCATATTTGTTAAGTTAATATGTTTATTGAACCGATTTATTTATGGTTATAAGAGATAGATAAGATATAGGAGAGATACCCCCTATAATTATTTTAAAGTTGGTCGATATTGTTTGCGAAATATAATCCCCAATATGGTCGATATGTACAGATATATGATATGAATATCTTGAGATAAAAAGAATTTTTTATGTGATTTATTACCTTAATAAATTAGCCGCAATTACCTAAATTATATCTTTAAAACATACCATAAAATGTTTAAATATTTCCTAGATTCAGTAAACAATATTTTTTTTGCGGGAAATAGTTACTATTTAAAAAATAATCAAATTTTATATAT